CCCATATGGTTAATCCGGCCTTGCGGACGAGACACGCGGGCCGGATCTCCAGAAAACAAGAAAAGGAGGAACTCAAATAATTAATGTTCTTGTGAGAGCACAATGAGGAACAAAAGGTTCATTTAAAATAAAGTTTAATCGTTATTATTATCATTTATTTCTCTCATTGGCTTTTATTTCTGTTTTAAAATGTGTGCTTGTTTGGTCTGGTTTAAGAAATATGTATTAAAATCAGGACACAACTGGAAATACTTAAATTGGGAGCAGAAGGTCAACAGAAGCAAAAAAAAAAAAGGGGGGGTATGCTATTTTTTAAAATAAACACTAACTACATTTAACATTGTATTATTTGTTTATAAATGTTTTGTATCTATAAAATAACCCACTTTTTCTCACACATTATTTATATAAGGTGACGAAAGTGCATAAAAACACAGCAAGTCAACAAGTATATTTTTATGTTTAAAAATGCAACAAAAATAATATTTTTAAAAATTTATTCTTCTGAGGAGATTTCTAGCTTTTCTTAGAGGATTAAATCTGTCATTTCAGACACATCAAATCTGTTCAACAAGCCATAAATTTAAATAAATAAATCATGTTTGTGCAACAGGTTGAAGCTTTAAAACTGGAGGGAGAGTGATGCGTTCACGGAACCTCTCATGTGAGGAAACTCCTTCAGAAAAAAAACATATAACCTATTTTGTTTAAATTACTTTGTAATATTGTTTAAATATGTATTTGTATTAATATTGCTTTTATTACTCATAACTAGAAAATAGACCGTTGTTTGCACGCGGGAACAGATGCGCGCGCACTCACCTGCATGGGGTCTTCTTACCTCAGCAGAAGTTTGGTCACTTTAGACCTTAGCATTTGCATTTTATTTATTTTTGTTTTATAAATGAAAGTTTAGCATGTGCTTATTTTATTTTATTAATCTATGAGTTAAATTGTACAGAAAAGCCAAATGCAACACGTGTTTTTCTTTTTCTTTTTTTCTTGAGGCTTTGAATTCCCATCATCTAAACACACACACACACATGCACGCACACACATGCTCACACACACTCCAGTGACGTCAGGCTTGAGTTTGGTGTAGAAAGCCAAACGGATGAAGGAAGTGGAGCTCTCCACCCCTCCTGACACTTCTCATAAATATGACCAGACTTTATTCAGAGGGGACTCCGCAGCACAAAGTCACCTCGCGCTCTGCTTTGGGCTTTTTTACGCACTTTTACTTCTAATATTACAAAAARATAAATAAATAGGACTTATTCCTCCCCTCTGCACCTCCCCTGGCTGCGGCTCGGCCGGATGGACTCCAGGCGCTGATTGATTGATTTATTTTTTTCTCTTCTTGTGTCCAACTTTGTGCGCCCCTGCGGCTGGTTCCCCTCTGGTCTCGGTCCGGGTCTCCGAACAGCCAGGGACAGAACTGCGACTTTTCATTCTGGAGGAGGACAGCGGGGGGAGGAGGAGGAGGACACGGTGGTGGCGGTGGTCGATCGGAAGTCGCTCCTCTGGGCAGGTCGGAACTTTGATTTGATTTATTGATTCAACAGGAAAAGATTACTAAACATCCAAGCTGACTCAGCATAATTGCTGTTTTACAGCAGGCTCCTGTTCTGCAGCACATAAAACCCTCAGAAATACAGCATCACAAACACATCATTATACACCATAGACACAAAGACAAACAAGCTTTTTGCGTCTCATCCCTGAAGAACCCGAGCAAGTGGCGCCTCCTCCTCTCCGGTCTCACCGATTCTGTCAGGACGAAAACCCAAGTTCCAGCAGACCGGGACGGAACCAGCTGACTTGGAGGCTTTAACAAGGACCTGAGGATCCAGGATGAGCAAACCCGCCGGTTCAACAAGTGGCTGTTTGGATATTCTGAACGTCAAATCCAGTGAGTTTCTGTCATGTGCAGTTTGTGGAGCAGCAGGCCTCTTCCTCACAGCAAACTGAGTTCCTCAAACTTTCACAAACTTAACACTTTTATGAAGAAAAAAGTTCCAATTATACTATCATTTTTTATTAAAAGCTATTAAAATCTGCTCGTGTTTTTAAGGGGAAAAACATTTTTAAATGTGTTCAAAATGTTCCTCTCTTGACGCCACTTGTTGCTTCTCATTTAAATGTTCTTTTCYATAAAAGAAAAACGCTGCAATAAAAACCAAGACAAATTCCTTTATTTTATCTAARTAAACTTTTCAGTGAGACTCAAAATTTATTTTCAATAAGATCTGTTATGTTTTTACACCAGGCCTCTGCTTTAAATTCAGACTTTTTAAAACATGTCTTTAATTTTAAATAAATGAATTCAGTCATTTTTTTCTGTTTAAAATTATTCAATGAAGTTGTGCAATTTATTTAGATTTGTGTTTTAT